CCCTTCAAATGTTTTTTTTTTAATTTTTTTAAAATGCAAATCTTTTAAGCTTAAACCGTTTTGTCACTTGAGGGGGTTTTTTTTCAAAATACATCTTTAAGAAACTATTTTTATTCATAAAAAAACTCCATTTTTGGAGGTATTTTCAAATCGGTCCAGCCCACGTTAATCTTAATATTTTTTCGAAATATTTTGGTGGACTTCTTAAAACATAATAGATTTTATAATTCCAAAAACAGTATGTACCTATTTTTTTTTGTATGGGGAGTGATGCAGCCGCCGCTTCAATATATGTATATGTATATATTGAAGCGGCGGCCGCTGTGGTGTAGGGGTTAATAAAATTATAGTTTAAAAAACTAAAACCTCGTTATTATAATTTCCATTTGTACTGTCATCAAGTATGTAGCTTGAGAATAGAAATCGCTGCATCTTTTAGGCGCATCAATATTACATATATAGTTACAGCTAACAAAAGGGAGGTAAAAAATGTTTTTTTCTTAACAGCGGTCGCCCCTCGGCAGGCAATGACAAAGCTCCGAGTGTATTTCTGCCATGAAAAACTGATTCTTATAAATTTGGAATTTAGATACTCACTTAAACCTATTTATCTTACAAAGTAGGTAAATTAGCTCATGCAATTTTTCATCCACTTAATTCATATGTTCAGTAATAGAATAACGTTATCGGATTTCCGGATTCCGTGACTTGTGCATTTTTTAATTTTCGTGCAATTAGTTTATATGTATGCTTACTGAAATGTGGTCACTCAGATAAAAGCGGAAGTGGAAAAAGCCAGCTTAGAAGCAGTAGTTCCGTTTCTGGAGTGGAGGGATCATTTCATTAAGACTTTATAGAACTCTTGCATGTAGTGTTGGGTTGACAGTTTTTTATTTTTGGGGTTTGTTCACCTACTTTTTCGATTCAACCAACTGTGCTGCGGATGCAAATATTTACACATGTGTTTGGATTGTTAGCACAAAATAATGACTTCACTGAAATTAAACATGTATGTCTTTTTATGATAACATAATAAATAAGTGTTTTCACTGTAGAGCATTCAAGAAATTTTTAGTTGATGTTATGAAATCAGTTGATACTGTACTGAGAAAGAATTTGCCTTTCCATGACTATAGGCAGCGTTGCCATTTTAGCCGTTTTCCGGCTAGATTTAGCCAGTTTTGATAGCAAGTAGCCGGAGAAAATTCGATCTAGCCGGCAGCCGATTTGTTAACCGGTTTGTAAATAAAAGTTAGCCGTTTTTAGCCGATTTTACTATTTGCCAAATTTTCAGGTGCAAAAAGTAAACATGTTGTTCGAAAGCAATAATGCAGACCCAATGAAGATTTTTAATGAACTCAATGTTTTACTTCCGCATCTATGCTCCCTAGTGGTTATTAGCGCGGACCCATTTGATCCTATATGCTCCCCGTTGGAACCATACCTTGCTCCATTTCCTCACTTTTAACGGGTGATTTTTTTGAGGTTAGGATTTTCATGCATTAGTATTTGACAGATCACGTGGGATTTCAGACATGGTGTCAAAGAGAAAGATGCTCAGTATGCTTTGACATTTCATCATGAATAGACTTACTAACGAGCAACGCTTGCAAATCATTGAATTTTATTACCAAAATCAGTGTTCGGTTCGAAATGTGTTGAATGTGTGAAAAGTTGGCAGAAAATCCGCTTTTTTATCGACAAATTTTGTTCAGCGATGAGGCTCATTTCTGGTTGAATGGCTTCGTAAATAAGCAAAATCATGCGATTTGACGCCTTTAGACTATTTTTTGTGGGGCTACGTCAAGTCTAAAGTCTACAGAAATAAGCCAGCAACTATTCCAGCTTTGGAAGACAACATTTCCGAAGAAATTCGGGCTATTCCGGCCGAAATGCTCGAAAAAGTTGCCCAAAATTGGACTTTCCGAATGGACCACCTAAGACGCAGCCGCGGTCAACATTTAAATGAAATTATCTTCAAAAAGTAAATGTCATGGACCAATCTAACGTTTCAAATAAAGAACCGATGAGATTTTGCAAATTTTATGCGTTTTTTTTTAAAAAAAAGGTATCAAGCTCTTAAAAAATCACCCGTTATCACAGTTTTGAAGAGTATTTAAAAACCAAAGTAAGCACAAACGCTTTTGACCACGAAGCCGAGAAAATAATTCGAGAAAATGGTCGCTATTTTATTATCACTTTAATAAAGTAATTACGCCAACGCCTCCCTACAAATATTGCCACACTGAAAAAAGTCAATTTTGCAAATGCATTAAGAGTAATTAAACCAAAAGTATTTGTTCAACTATAGCAACAAAAACACAAATATAATGCCGACGAAATAACATCCATAGAGATGCAATGGCAACGGTTAACGTTACATACCTGGAGTAATTTAGACTCAACTGTAAAATTTTTGGCCGAAGTTTATCAATTTCGAAATGCCCTAGGAGAAAACCCTTTCGCTGACCTTTGCAACCTAGTTTTTAGTTTTCTTGTTTTGCCTATAAGTAATGCAGAAGTAGAGCGAATATTTAGTTCAATGAATATAATAAAAACTAAGCAAAGAAATCCAATGTGCGTTAAAACGTTAAACGCTATTTTATATATAGGACACGGTTTAAAACGTGAAGAAAAATGCTGCCATAATTTTACTGTAGATGACGATCTCTTAAAATTAATGAATTCAGGTGATATATACAATAGTGATTCATTTGATGATGAGGAATATACACTCGATATAAATTAATGGTGTTAACTAGTCTTTCGTTTCTTGCGATTTATTTAAATAAAGCATGTGAATTTTCACTAAAACATTTTAGCCGTTTTTTGCCAGAGTCTATGTGAAATTTCACTAAAACATTTTAGCCGTTTTTAGCCGCTTTTTTTTGCCAATCTAACCGGTCGGCCCAAAAAGTTCTGGCAACACTGACTATAGTTGAGGTAATTTCCTCTAATGTTACGGTATTTATCTATGCCAGGGCCGGCCGCAGGATTTATGTAAAGTCATTCGTAACAACCCATCATTTTATTTAGACTATTCAGCATATTGTATTTTAATATAATTCAGTACAACTCAAAAAAAAAATCACATGCAATTCACCGAGGTAAAGATAGAAATTGCGATGAGTATTTAGAAAAGCTATCCCATTGTGTGCTCGTTCTCTACCCATGCCTGCCCATGCATAATGATATTCATTTAATGATTTTGCAAACTTATAACTCAATAGGGGCGAAGGGTATCTATCATACAAAACTCAAAGAAAAATTTCCGTAGAAAAAACGAAAACTGAATTTTTGTAATGGATACCACAGCCCAACAAAAATAGAAAAACGGAAAATGTTAATGATGAAATGATAGACTTTTTGTGCTGATTACGTAAGCATAAAGTTTCCACCAGCTCCAGATTTTGAAAAAAAAACGACGTCAAAGTGCCAAAAAATCGCGTTTTTGCCATATTTTAGGAGCTCTACCAGAGAAATAAAAAGTGATAAAACCTTCCTGGCTTAAATTAAAGGTGGAACACTCGACTACTATCTTTGACAATACCACTCCTGCACCCTGAATTGATGGTAGCTTATCGTTTTTTATATAATTTTATTTGTTTTTATTTTATTTTAGAAAAAATGAGGAACAAGTTGAATCAAATATTTGAACGTTTATTATATTTAGGTTTCAAAAAGAAGTGTCATTTACATTGGTTATTATGGTATGTATGTAACGTATCTTTCTCATGATCCCAGAGAATTATAAAAATAATATAATGCTACGAAATTATTAGCACCAATAGCTGACACCTCGAAAATACAAATAAGCCACAATACTCGCTATTGTAATTTTTTTAATTTTGTACGTTTTAAAAAATAAATATTAAGTATTCAAAGTCTACAAAAAATACGTTTTTCGAATAAAAACGTGTAATGTGCAAATGATTTGACATAAAACGTAAGTTTCATAAAGTGCACGCAATCCAATGAATAGTATAATATCTTGTCAAACTCAATAATTGACTGAATTTTTTATATATTCATTGGTTTCCTTTCACAGAGTTCATTTGTGCTTGAATCGCTATTTAAATGAATCTGTGTTTTTTTTTTTTTTTAAATAGGTGAAACTCATCCACAATACCCTTCGTTCCCCTAAATGTAAGGAAAGCCAGTTTTGTCTTCATTAAGCTATTTCAATAAAAAAGTTGTATGGATATCTTAAAATTTGTTATTGTTTTTATGGCTTTTTAACAATTACGAACGTTCGAGGAAACGCGAGTAAACTTTTTGCGGAATTGTACTTAAAACATTATCTTGGTTGAATAAATTAATTTTTCTAAATGAAGCAGGCCTTATTTAATCTGTTTTCGTCGGAAGACCAGCGAGGCGTTGAGACCGCATCGCCTGAAGCCGAGCTTACTCTTGTGAGCAGGGTGCTTATTAGCTTACTCTTTCGCTATTGAAATTTTGCCGAGTGCTTATCTTCCAATTTTGCCCACCGCTGCTTTAAAGCCGGCGAAGTTGGAACGGCCGACCCTACGTTAAAGACCGTACATTTCAATTTTATGAATTTTATGAGTATGAAACTTATAAAAGTCACTGACAAAGAGAGCAGATGAATTTCTTTTATCATGAAACTTTGAGATAGTTTGAGGGGCCCCACCAGCTATTGGCCCCATGGCCTAAAAATTCTAAATCCGGCCTTGTATGTTTTTATCAATATTGTTCTAAACAGAATGTGCTTAAATTCCTTGCGAAGAAAATACATATGTATGTATCAACATGCAAAGGTATTGTTTTAGCATCGGAATTAAGGTAAATTATTTATTTATGATAAATCGGAGTAATAAATAGCAACGCCATTATGTACTAAATCTTAAAATAAAATATTCAAAAGTTGTCAATTATGAAAATTACAAATTCTTCTAAGAAATAAAAACCCAAAATTCGTTGTTAATCAGAAGTAGGAAAAATTAATGACAAAATATTTTTTTTTAATATTTTGATGTTTACGTCGCTTAAAAAGCTTTTAGAAAAACTTAACAGCTGCAGTCTATTAAAATTTGCTGGTGGTTGATGTGGTCGTGGTGGTGGAACGAATTGTCACCTGTTTGACAATCTTTTTACCTAGATTAATCTCGGTACTATTACCATTGCTGTTGGTCACATTGTTGCTATTGTCATTTTTGTAAATTGTGTTTTTGTTGTTACTGCTACCTTCTCCCACCATTAAAGGGCGCCGTGGAGGCATACGCTCGTTGACAGCATCCAATCCTTTCGCTTCTGCGAACGAAGTGATTTGTTGGGTGGCGCCCAGGGTTTGAAGTGCTAAGAGAAGAAATAAAAGTGTGCATCAATTTATTAAAAAATCAAATTTTACGATGACATTTAAGTATGTGATATCCTTACCATTACGTAATGAATCCTTGCCGCCAGATAGTGCTCCTACCGGTAAAGAGCCGGTCGGTGTGAGGCCCTTTAATGCCAATACCGATTCTGATTCTTCCCTATTTAAGCGATAAAAGGCAATGCAATTTAGAAAACGTATTTATGTACATATCGCTAGCTTAGAGTGAAAAGTTGTTAAGTCCACTTTTTATGAAAATTCATATTTTAATACAGGAGGCTAGAGAAATTAAAAATGCCTCCTTTCGAAAAGGATAAATGTACTTATTTTATTTTTTCCTGTTCATATGTAGTAAAAGGAAAATTTGCTAAGTCCCAAAGAAGGCAAAAATAACACGGAATCTTTTAATAAAGATCGAACCATCTGATTCTTTTGGAGCCTTGCTTTTCTTTAAACACGCAAAATGTTGTATTCAAATCTTGCGAAATACTTAAAAAAATGGCCACGCGAAGTTTTTTCTCTTCCCCTGTAAATTTTGTAAAATGGAACTTAGCAACATTTCACTCTAAGCTATCAATATGTATTTAGGTATATTTATTTGTACATATTCATACATACGTATGTATTTATCTATGTAGGTACATATGTACATGTTGTACGTGTGTCTTAATATAATAACAAAATATACCGAATTACCTCAAAACCGAGAAGACACGTGACATTTTGCCAATGGCTCTGATCTTATTACGTATAATTTCTTTACGTAGCGCTGAAACCCCAGACACTGTGGAATAAAGTAAAAAATATAGAAGATATATTTTATTGCTAAGCCAAACCAACGAAAATTTAGCAAACTAATTAAATAATGGCAGATAAGCAAACAGCTAGGCATATTTTTAAGCTGCGCGTTCGAATAATTTCAATTTATTTACATAAATATATATGAGTACAGTGAGTGCCAGCCAAAATGTTTTTCATATATGTAAATAGTTTTGCTAGTTTTTTATAACTTGCACTACTAAAGTGTACTTTGTGTGGAAGAAAGCGTGCAACAAAATCAGTCAAATCAATTTTTTTGTAGAAATTTTATATCTGGCGTACAGCTGAATAGAGCAAAAAATGTACATGCATTTTAACATTAATTTGTGTTTTTTTACGGGTTTCTTGCCAAAATAAACGTGAAAAATTCTGTGAAATTTTATTAAAACAACTTAAGTTATATTAGAAGATTGAACTTTGTATTGAAAAATAACAAGTTTCCCTTGAAAAATTCTGTATTATATTTTATTAAGATTATATTAAAAGTTTATCGTTAAAATATTGTTTGGGAACCCAATGAAATAGTATGGCTTTAAAGTGAAAACGGACCTATCTCCAGATAAGCAGTTTTTATAAAATGTCATATTTATGAAGCGATTATCTGATATTTACAGTTAAAAATATTTAAGTTTGTTAAAAAGTTATATTTCTTAAAACCTTTCTTTTTACAGATCCATTGGGCCAGGGATATTTTATGTTTTTTTACCAATAAAAAATTCTTCTAGCGCATAGGTCTAAAATGAATTTTGAGGCAATTCTGGAGTGTCACCAGGGAAATCCTAAGGAAAAATCCAGGATCCCCTCCCAGATGCGCAGGCGACGAATGGTTTCAAAACCGCATCTATTACTTGCTAAATAAATCTGGTGTGAATTACACAGGCTAATATCCACCACTGTAAGGCTGACTCAGCCGCACTTCTCCTCTGTCATAAAACAGCGGGTTTGTGGACTAATAATGTATGGATATAAACTGGTTTATGTCACCGATAAATGTAAACCCAGGTTTTGATACAGTTTAGCGATGCGGACAACGTCTTAATAGCGGATCCGGTGGAAGATCAATTCGGTTGGCTCCCACACACATGGCGCCCGACGCAGAAACACAACCTCCACCCCAATCTTTGAGGAATATGGTAGCTTGACATTACATGTGGCAATTAACAGGACGAAAACTTTTAAATGAATGGAGAGTCTCTAAAGACAACTTCTTTTCAGACCACATGTATGCCGTTTATAACCTATCCGTACCGATAAAGAAACAATTGAGTGGTTCACAAGGTGTCGCATAAATAAATGTTTAGAGGACTTAAAATCACCACCAACTATCTTCTAGCGGCGGGAAATTTCATAATAAAACTTTTGTGTTAGCTTGCGAATTCCTTAAATATAGTTTTAGCTGTTTAAAGATTATGACATACAACAGTCCGACAGTATACAGCACTTTGTGAACTCCCTAAATATGTCTCAAATCGTAGGAAAGCAGATTGGATACAGTTTAAAACAACCGTTTCTAACAGCGGATGCGAATGCGAATGCGGATGTCAAGTATTTTAAGAAAAAATTAGGTGAGTACATTAGGTGATTTAGGTAAATGAAAAATTAGTAATTTTTAATAATCTTTTTTTTTATTTATTTATTTAGTACTTAAATTAAAAATTTGCAACTTTGTATTTAATAAAGAGTAATTTTGATGCCTTTTCGGGTTCCAGCCTATTTCTTAAAGGGTCGTAAATCAAACTTGCGCCACTAAATAACTACTCGCTCGAGGCGACAAAATTGAAGAACTTGAAACTTGGAAAAGTTGTAAATTACTTTCGATTGAGAGGACTTTCAGTTATATTTCTTTTTTATTGTGGTGCAATAATTCCTTTTTGAGGATTGCATCGGGGCTGTCGAATATATGAAACTTTCATCTTCTCAATCTAGCATCATGGCAAGATCGTTGTTTAAACACCGCTGTTTTCCAATTTTGAGAACCAACTCTTTATTTGTTTCAGAATTTGGAAAACCTGTTACGTCTTCAGCGTGTTTCGATTTTAGTTTTTGTAAGTCATTTTTAATCCTGTCTTCTGTGACTGGTTTGAAAAATGTGTGCTTATAGCGAGGTTCTAAATAGGTGGATATGGCAAATAAATTGTTATTTTCTAGGAATGAAAATTTCGGAGAAAATTTATTTTGAAATCGTGGCTGCCAACCAAATTACATAGTTATATTTCTTGTTATTTTGTTGAAGAGGCACCCCGTTTTTACAATTATTTGAATTATTGGAATCACGGACGATGAAGGTCTCAGATCTGTTTAGTTCTCGGGTGACTTCTTGGAAAAGTTCACCTGTAATGAATAGCTTTTAATTAATTTTTATTTATTAGCTGAGCTCGACTTTTCCTAGTTACAGGCAGTCACAATTAATTACTCACCGCTGTCGGTAACACAAACCATCAAATCCGTTTTGTTGTTCCATTCTATGAGCTCAATGTGCTTTGATACCTTGAGGCAATTCAACACAAATTTTCAACACATCGTTAATATAGTATGGGTAGGGCGTATTTCACTTTATCGCTGAAATGCAAAAAAGCCACAACCAGCTAAAATTTTTTATTGCATAAAACGATGTGGGGACTTATGATTCGATGAAATGCATCATAACCAATCAAAAAGTGAATTTTGGATTTTTAGTTAGTTACGGCTTTTTGTATTTCAGCGAGGATGTGAATTTAGCCCTTTACATACTATACTAACGATATATTACATGCCAAGTCCCACTCCTCAATAGATATAAAATTCACCTTGAATGATTAGTTTTTTGATTTTGGCCGTTTTATTATAATTTATAAATTCACCTTGAATTAATTCTTATTTAATTTGTGAACTTGGCTGTCAACTTATTTACATATAATTTTGACAATTTACACAAAATTAAAATAGAAGTTTTTGTTTTCGAGCTGGAAGACTAATATTTAAGAGGAAACACGGAACTTAAGTATAATAAGTTTTATGAGAAAAAAATAATTAAACTTTTTTAAGAAAAAGTAGAAAAATACTAGCGATGCATCCAGTTTTTTCAACTGACCTTTGTCAAATAATATTCGATAGTTACATAATTCTTACCTAATTGAAGGCTATCTTTTAACGTACAAATATTCGATTCTCTTTATAGCTAGACGTTGAACATTTCCGCTGGAAATACCTTTTAAAGGATCTTACTCTTTGACATTGGGGGACAATTTTAAAGTAGCATCTCCACAAGAAAAAATGTTGGCTACAATTCGTCATTTTGTTCACCAGATATACGTTTTGTCAGTGCACTTGCACAATATTCGCATTCGCAAAAGCTCCGCATTGATTATTGCGAATGCGAAAGCGAATGCGAATGTTAAAATTAATGCGGAAGCTCCGCAGTTGCGAATGCGAATATTCGCAACAACCCTGCTGCAAACCACTCCAAACATCGGTGCAGTTCGGTTCAGTGGTTCGGACCACTTAGAAGGAGCTTGTACCGGTACAAGAACTAGTCCACGAGAATCCCTGAACCGCGGCTCGGTTCGGTTCAAGTGGTTCAATATCAAATATTAATTAAGTTTGGGAACATTGTTTACTTGTGTTTTTATAACAAAATAAACCATATTTTGTTGTAAAATTTATGTGCTTTTTGAAAAAGTTTTTTAAATAATATATTCTACTAGTGCATCAGAAGAGAATATTGGTGATATTGGTGCATTTTTGAGTGTGCAATTGCTCGTAAGAAAGAGCAATATTCCAAAAAATTGTTTTGCTAATAACTTTTACACGGTTAACAATATTAACAATGGTACCCCTCCTGACATTTTTCTTGCAAGTTGTACCTTAAGCTAGAGAATTACCGAGTTACTTTTTACATGTACACCAGTTGTGCACTACGTAAACATTACACAAAAATTTATAAAATGTGCAATAACGCCATCCTGAGAAACAAGACCATACGAAAAATGCCGCCTTATTTCTCAATGTGGAGTGAAATAAAGCCATATGGCATTATTTCTTATGGCTTTATTGCACAGCGCCTATCGAACATGTTCGTTCACATAATGGGTTAACGTTCCTCGTAGAAGCCGAACTAGATGATATTTTTTTGCTAGAACGTCGACGGCTGAGTGGAAGATCGACCTATATTGGCAGCCGGTTCGAAAACTTTGCAACAACGCTCTATTTCGGAATTTGGTAGAAGAACGCCTTATTTAAGAATTTTGTTGAAAAACGCCCCTTCTCAGAATTTGGTTGAAGGACGCCCTGTCTCAACTAAAAGTATGTTGGAAATATATATGATAGGGAGTTTTTGATTCGGCAGCTGAGGTTGAGCGTTTCTGAACCGAATTCTGAAATAGGGCGTTTTTCAATCAAATTTTGAGAAAGCGCGTTCTTCAACTAAATTCTGAAATACGACGTTCTTGAAAAGTTTTCTGAGATAGGGAGTTTTCTAACTGGCTGCCGAGATAAATCGATTTTCCACTCAGTCGTCGATATGTACTATTTTTCTTCAGCGTCAGTTGCAAAACGAAAAATAAAATGAGTAATCGATGCCATTTTGGAAAGAAGGCTGTAAACGTTTTTCGCGATTCACATCGACATCGTCAATTTTTTTCGAAAGACTCAAAAATACATACTTTTTTGTTGTCCCAAAAAAAAACTACATTTTTGCTGGCCGAAAAAAAAACATTTTTTGTTGACGTATTTTTTCCAGCGTCATTATTTTGCAAGTTAATAAAAAATTTGTGATACAATTGTTTATCACTTTTCGACAGTATATTTCCCTAAAACCATTTATAGAATGAAAATAATACCCTTTCAATCACAATTATGGAAAATACAGCATAAAAGATTAGAGTAGGGTTAAGCATTACGGTACATTGTATTGTGTTTGAAACGTGGGTAGGTCACGCGTGCTGTACGGAATCTGCCGCTGCACGATTAAGATGTTATTTTTTTCAA